GTGGACCACTAGCTCAGCACTGGTGTTTGCAGCAGCAGCAGCAAGCACTGCTTCTGGTAAGGTTGCTGGCATGCTGGTCTGGATCCAGTGATATATCTTGGAAGCCAAAATCTTCAGAAGCATTCACCCATATATTTGGATCTTCAGATTTAGAGGTTTTCCCATAGATGATCTGCTTTGGCTGGATATCTTTGACATTAAAAACAATGTTAAATCTTAAGTTTGACTTATAGAAATTTTGCTTTTCCCAATTCACATAAAATGTTCTCTATTATTATTATTATTATTATTTTGAGGTATATATTATCTGCAATAAATTGCACATATATAAAATATACACATGTGAAGCTCCCACAAAAATCAGGATAGTGTACACTGCTATCAGTTCAGAAAGTTTCTTCATCCTCTCTAAGTTTTCTCTCTCATACCTCTTGTCCTATCATGTTCTCAGGCAACCACCAATCATCGTCTGTCAGTATGAATTAGGTTGCATTTTCTAGAAATTTATATAAATGGAAACATACAATGTATACTCTTTTTGGTCTGGTTTCTTTCACACAGAATACCTATCTTGCTATTCATCTGTGATGCATCATGTATCAATAGATTATTCCTTTTTCCTGCTAAGTAGTATTCCATTTCACAGGTACTACCACTTATCAGTTCACCTGTTGGTAGACATTTGCATTGTTTCTAGTCTGGTGTGAGTCCAAATAAGGCTGTTATGAATATCTGTATACAAAGTGTGTGTTTAATTTTTAAAGAAACTTCCAATCTGTTTTACAAAGGAGTGTGTTTAATTTTTAAAGAAACTTCCAATCTGTTTTACAAAGGATTTGTAGCATTTTACGTTCCCACCGGCAGTGTATAAGTTCCTTCATTTATTTACCAACACTTGGTATGGGGTATGGTCTGTTTCTGTCTTCTTCTCTTTTTTAATCCTACTGATTTTCCTGGCTGTTAATTACTATTGATATTAATTACCATCTGCTTAATTGCTACTGATGTTTAACATATTTTCCTACACTTAATTCCCACTTATTTTCTTTTGTGAAGTGTCTGCTCAAATATTTTGCCTACATTTTAATTGGTTTATTTCCTTATTATTTTCAGAACTTCTCATAGATTTTGAATAAAAAATGCTTCATAAAGTATATGATTTACACAGATCTTCTCTTAGTCTAATTGTTATCTTTTCATGTTCTTAATAGAATCTTTTAAAGTCCATAAGTTTTCATTTTAATGTTGTTCAATTTATTAATATTTGTCCTTATAGGTCATGCATTTGGTGTTGTAACTAAGAAATCTTTATATAACCTGGGGTTAGAAGGATTTTTAATCACATTTTCATGTAAGTTTTTATTAAATTAATTTTTTCATTGACAAGTAAAAATTGTATGTGTTTACGGTATACAGCAGATGTGTTGATAGATGGATACATTTTGGGATGGGTAAATCAAGCTTTTTAACATAAGCATGATTATGTCATACACTTATTATTATTTTATTTATTTATTTTGATTGGTGCAAACACTTAAAATCTACTCTCTTACCAATTTTAAAATACACATTTTTAAAAAGTTATTATTATTATTTTTCCTTTGTCTCTTTCTGGCCATGAGTGGCAGACAAATCAATTGTTATGCCTGACACAGACACCTTATACTACTGTTCTGAGCTCAAGATTCTGATCTGTTGAATCTGAGAGGCTAACTAGAGTTCTAGGTTGTAGATTACCATGGAGCTGTTGTAATTTGTAAAGCTATGAATTTTAAACCCTGTAAGACTTTTTTTTTTTTAAATCCTGGCTAGAATGTCATAAGCAGTGAGTTTTATTGCAATACCTGCAGAAGTCAACACAGTAGGCAAAGAAAAAGAAAGTTAGAGAGACAGATCAAAAAATATATAAAGCTCTACATGTTAACTTTACTGTTACAGATTCTTATTTTGGTACTAAGGGGAAAAAAAACTTGGGGAGTTAAAATGACCCCTGTGATGACCATCAATTTAAAAACAGGCATGAGGAAAAATCATGAAGCTAACTGGAGTCTTAGAAAACTTGGCATGGCTTAATGTTTGAAAATCTTATTGTTTTCTTATTAATCTTCCAAGAGCAAAGAAGATCTTATAAATCCTGTCAAAGAATGTCAGGAGTTTGGACTGGCATTTTAGGTAGTGGCTATGATGGAATTTGGATGTGTTGTCCCCTCCAAACCTCATGTGGAAATTTGATCTCCAATGTGGCAGTGTTGGAAACTGATTGAGTCATGGGGGTGGATCCCTCATGAATGGATTAACGTTCTCCCTGGGGGAGGAGTGAGTTCTCGCTATTAGTTCCCATGAGAGAAAGAGCTGATTGTTTAAAGGACCCTGGCACCTCCTCTCTCTCTCTCTCTTGCTTCCTCTCACCATATGATCTGCTTGTACCTGCCAGCTGCCTGACACTTTCCACCATGAGTAGAAGCAGCCTGAGGCCCGTGCCAGATGCAGCTGTCCCAGAATCATAAGCCAATGAAACGTCCATTCTTTATAAATTACCCAGTTCCATGTATTTCTGTTATAGCAACACAAAACAGACTAAAACAGGCTACTATTCTTACAGATTTTAATTAGACATCATGTGTTTATCATTTAGAATGCTTATTTTTGTTCTTGAAAGATTTCTAAAATCAGCAAAGGAAAAGAACCAAAATATTTATGGATGCAGGTAATCAATGACAATAATTTATTGTCTGCTCTAAAATAGCTAGAAGGGAGGACATCAAATGTTCTCATCACAAAAAAATGATAACATTTTTCAATGATGAATGTGCTAATTGCCCTGATCGGATCATCACACATTGTATACATGTATTGAAATATAACTGTGTACCTCATAAATATGTACAATCAATACATTTCAATTAAAAATAAATTAATTGAAAATTTTTAAAAAACAGAAAAAATGGACAAAACACTTGTATAGATATTTCATAAAACGTGATATTAAATCAAAAATAAACATGAATATGTGCTCATAATGGTTACTCCTCATGGAAATGCAAAGTAAAACTACAAAGAGATAACACAAAAATGGCTAAAATTAAAAAGTTTTCACCAAGTGTTCATGAGAATGCAGACAACTCAAACTGTCATACATTGTTTTGAGAGAGTGAGTTAGTACCACCACTGTTTGGTAATATCCACTAAAGCTAAATATATGCACAATCTATGGTCAAGCACTTCTACTCTTTTGTATACATTATAGAGATGCAGAAAAAAATAGGAGAAAGTTGTCAAAATGACATGTACATTGAAAAAATCAGGTCTGACCATGATGTGCAAAGTGTGTTCCTGCATTAAACCACGAAGTTGAAATCATACATGTATATATTCTCAGAGCTCTATCAAGCTCACAGCAGGTGAACAAGCACAGTATATATTTTAGATGATAGATCACAAGAGATGATTTTAATTTAAAGAAAATGGGTCAAATTTTTTGCATTGAACACTATCTTTATTTTTAACAGCAATAAAATTAGGTTACATTAAAGTAGAAAAAACATAAAAGACAGTGACGTATTACTGATTTCCTTTAACTGAAAAGGGCTCCCTTAGATACGGAGTTCCCAGACACACATCAGTTTCCTGACTTAGCCCTGGTCATGTGTGCCCTGTGCAAAAGAAAGGCCTGACTGGGAAATTGAAGGAGCCAGTGGGATACTTCCACATGAGAGAACTCTTGGCAACATTCACAAAACTCACACTTCCACTCTCAAAATCAAGGAACACACCAACCTTGCCCAGAGGTT